CCATTGTGAGAGAATACTCTAAACATCTTTCTTCTTTTCTTTTGATTTTTATGATGAATTCAATCTTAGTTTATGTTCCCATAGCCATGAGTAGCTAAATTCCTTGTCTAAGGTTTTGATGGAACCTACTGGGTGATGAACTTCTTGTTTATGTGAATACAAAATTGCCAGTTTAATCTCTATTTGTTCAACTTCGTGTTCGTTGTAGTTAATTGACAGGATCCTCAATTAGCTGTGCCTATTTAGTGTGCATAACTTGGAAAAGAGTGCATATTTAGGTTATTGTTGAACAACACCACTCCTAGATTATTAGAGGAATCTATAATTGCGGGTTTAAAGGCGGGATTAGGGATAACGAAGCCTTGGGTGTAATCTAAAGTGAATTGTGCTAATAAAGTAAGCTAGTGTATCTCGGAAGAGTGCAATAGTAAATTACTGTGATTACTCGGGAGAGATTTGCGGTAAGATTAGCGTTCATGATTGATAGAGATGTGTGGGTAAAGTTGTATGAGCATAAACAGAGGGGATTCCATCAATAGGGGAAATCATTGCCTTCGCGTTTCCTCATAATTGTTCACAACCTCATTAGTTTAGTTTACAACTATTTAGTTACTTGCAAGCTAGTCGTTAAAGAACACTCAACTGAGATTTGAATATTTGGGAAGCTGGTTCTGAAGAATTAGTGGGTCTGAAGATAGTAGTTGATAGGTTAACTCTCTGTGGATTCGACCCTGGGCGTAATACTCGGGTTATATTTGCGACGTCCGCAGAGTCCTTTTTATAAGGCATAGTTGGGCGTGATCAGTTGTCAATAAAAAATTTAAAAAATTCTAAAAGGATCTATTGTAAGAGTATACCGTTACATCATATAGCATACTATAATTTTTTTTTTTTGCATTTTCAATTTGCCCCTCACGCTGGGTAAAAGCTTAAAACAAATTAAAAGGGAAAAGGCAAGTGAATTTACGGGTAATAAGTATACTATTATAGTATATTGTATACTATTACAGCATATTGTTACAGTATCTTGCATATTATTACAGTATACCATAACAGTATATTGTATACTATAATAGTATACTGTTGCAGTATAACTATATACTCCTATAGTATATTAGTATACTGTAGCGGTATACTATTTTGTAAACTATAATAGTGTACTGTCGCAGTATAGCTATATACTCCTACAGCATATTGTATACCGTAGCGGTATACTGTAGCTGTGTTCTTCTTCGATTTTCAACTGAAAATTTCGATCTCAATCACCTCAAATTAGGTCCAAATGCTATCAAATTTCAGTATGAACTTCCAGAAGGTACTATAAACAATATCTAACAGCACCCACTTTGAATCAAACAAGAAATCTTCAAAAATAAAATTGAGCTTCAAGCCCAACAATGGTGGATATTCAAATAGAGAAAATCTCACTTTATTGATTCCAGTGGTGTGAGACAGAACTAGCGGGTAAATAGTTTGGGGAGTATGGGTAGGAGTAGTATTGATTCTCTCGTGGAGGGATTCCATAGCAAAAGTATGGAGTGTTCATCACTAATATTATCAGAAACCTCGATAATAACCAAGCCATCGCAACAATAATGGACCACACATTGCCTTGGTTTAGAGCTTTAACGGAAGTCAAGTTTTTGCACAACTTCAGCCAGTTGAACCGACGTTAAAGAACAACAATACATGGAAAATATACCATCCTTAAGTCAAAGTTGATTCCAGTGGTGTGAGACAGAACCAACGGGTAAATAGTTTGGGGAGTATGGGTAGGAGTAGTAAATAGTTTGAGTCTGGGAATTAGAGGGTAAATAGTTTGGAATTAATGGGTACAAAGTGAGATTTTTGGAACCAAAATAAGAATTGGCAGTTTTTTTATCCTTATATTAGGTTTGGCAAAGATAGCCCCAAACAATTGGCATTATATAGCCAAATCCTAAAAAAACATACTCTCTTTTATATTAGCTCTAAAAAAAAAACTACACGCTTATTTTGGCTTCCCTCCCCCTTTCTCTCCTTGTATTTCTTCTTCTATCTCTTCTCTTTTGCTCTCATAGTTTAGCAAAATTTCTTGCAAATTATGCAAAAAAAAAAAAAAAATCAGTGGGATAAAAAGATAAGGTTGATCTCACATCAGAGAAAATCAGAAGCAAAACTAAGAGAAAAAAAAATATATTTTAACTTTGTTTTTCTTCTCTCTTTTTTTTTGTTGGATTGAATGAGTAGGTGTGATTGAAATTGGTTGAAAATACCTAAACGAGACTATATATAAAATTTGAGCAATATTAGCAAAAACTAAGAGAGAAAAAATTTATTTCAACTTTGTTTTTCTTCTCTCTTCCTTTTTTTGGTTGGATTGAATGAGTGGGGTGTAATTGAAATTGGTTGAGAATACCTAAACGAGGCTATATACAAAATTTGAGCAAGAATATAAGTGATTTAGACTGGTTTCAGGCAAAAATCAGACCTAAAATTCCAACTGCGATATGTGTATATCACGTTGTATATCGTGTACATCAGTGTATATCACACACAAGTTTTTAAGGACGTCTGGTGTATATCACTTTGTACATCGGTATACAACACTATTTTTTTTTATAGACGCCCGTGTATATCACATTGTATATCATATATATAACACAAATTTTTATGGATATACACAGATACACATAGTATACATGAGATATCACTTATGTACATAGAGATATACACGTGTTACAATAGGGGATACACATGTGGAGTCGTCTTGAACTTGAGTTTTCAATCTGAAATGTGTTATACAAAGAAGGAAAATAAATTTTCAATAAATGTTTTTGATATACACATTATTATTATGTTATACACTGTGATTACAAATAATATAATTATATAATTATTAATTGTATATCAAAAAAGAAAAATATAGCATGTTTAAGCAAGTTCTAAAATATAAAAATAATAAATATAATTATGGGAGTAAATAATATTTTGGTATAAAAAAAATTAATTGTTAATATACACAAAGAAGAAAAATAAACTTATGATGCAGGATGGCAAGGTTATAGCCTATGCTTCGAGGCAGTTGAAGATTCATGAGAAAAACTATCCAGTGCATGATTTAGAGTTGGCAGCTATTGTCCACGCCTTGAAGATTTGGAGGCACTATTTGTATGGCGTGGAATGTGAGGTGTTCACTGACCACAAGAGTCTTCAGTACTTGTTCAAGCAGAAGGAGTTGAATTTGAGGCAGAGGAGGTGGTTGGAGTTGTTGAAGGATTATGATGTCACTATTTTATATCATCCAGGGAAGGCCAATGTGGTGGCCGACGCTTTGAGTAGGAAGTCAGCCAGTACGGGCAGTCTTGCTTATATTCCAGTCAGTCAGAGGCCGCTTGCTTTGGATGTTCAGGCTTTAGCCAATCAGTTCGTGAGACTGGATGTTTCTGAGCCCAGTCGT